GAGCTGATGCACCACTGGTCATTCTCCAGCTGTGTGCTGGTAAGTGCTGGGATGACTGGATGGGGGGGGGGTGTTTGTTTGTTTCCTGCAGTAAAAGCAAAATGCTTGCAGTAGCCACACAAGTTAGAAGAAAAAAAGCAACAAAGAGGCTGCAGGTGCACCAAACACCAGGTACAAAGAGCAGATTAAGGAGTTTGGGCTTGTTAAAGACGGTTTCCATGGCAACCACATTTGCAAACTTGGGTCTTATCATTCATTAGTGAATCCAGACACACTATGAGCTTTTCCTTCATTTGGTTTGTGGTCTTTCTGGCTGGTTTCTAAGCCTCGCGCATGTGTTTGTCCCTAAGCGCCGCAATAAGATTTTAACTAAGTAAAACAAGTGTCAGTTAAAAATCACTATTAAAGTAAAACAAGTTTCGGTTAAAAATCACTATTAAAGTAAAACAAATGTCGGTTAAAAATCACTAATAAAGTAAAACAAGTGTCGGTTAAAAATCACTATTAAAGTAAAACAAGTGTTGGTTAAAAATCACTAATAAAGTAAAACAAGTGTCAGTTAAAAATCACTATTAAAGTAAAACAAGTGTCAGTTAAAAATCACTATTAAAGTAAAACAAGTGTCAGTTAAAAATCACTATTAAAGTAAAACAAGTGTCAGTTAAAAATCACTATTAAAGTAAAACAAGTGTGAGTTAAAAATCACTATTAAAGTAAAACAAGTGTGAGTTAAAAATCACTATTAAAGTAAAACAAGTGTGAGTTAAAAATCACTATTAAAGTAAAACAAGTGTCAGTTAAAAATCACTAATAAAGTAAAACAAGTGTCAGTTAAAAATCACTATTAAAGTAAAACAAGTGTCAGTTAAAAATCACTATTAAAGTAAAACAAGTGTCAGTTAAAAATCACTATTAAAGTAAAACAAGTGTGAGTTAAAAATCACTATTAGAGTAAAACAAGTGTGAGTTAAAAATCACTATTAAAGTAAAACAAGTGTGAGTTAAAAATCACTATTAAAGTAAAACAAGTGTGAGTTAAAAATCACTATTAAAGTAAAACAAGTGTCAGTTAAAAATCACTATTAAAGTAAAACAAGTGTCGGTTAAAAATCACTATTAAAGTAAAACAAGTGTCAGTTAAAAATCACTATTAAAGTAAAACAAGTGTCAGTTAAAAATCACTATTACAGTAAAACAAGTGTCGGTTAAAAATCACTATTAAAGTAAAACAAGTGTCGGTTAAAAATCACTATTAAAGTAAAACAAGTGTCGGTTAAAAATCACTAATAAAGTAAAACAAGTGTCGGTTAAAAATCACTATTAAAGTAAAACAAGTGTGAGTTAAAAATCACTATTAAAGTAAAACAAGTGTCAGTTAAAAATCACTATTAAAGTAAAACAAGTGTGAGTTAAAAATCACTATTAAAGTAAAACAAGTGTGAGTTAAAAATCACTATTAGAGTAAAACAAGTGTGAGTTAAAAATCACTATTAAAGTAAAACAAGTGTGAGTTAAAAATCACTATTAAAGTAAAACAAGTGTGAGTTAAAAATCACTATTAAAGTAAAACAAGTGTTGGTTAAAAATCACTAATAAAGTAAAACAAGTGTCAGTTAAAAATCACTATTAAAGTAAAACAAGTGTCGGTTAAAAATCACTATTAAAGTAAAACAAGTGTCAGTTAAAAATCACTATTAAAGTAAAACAAGTGTCAGTTAAAAATCACTATTACAGTAAAACAAGTGTCGGTTAAAAATCACTATTAAAGTAAAACAAGTGTCGGTTAAAAATCACTATTAAAGTAAAACAAGTGTCGGTTAAAAATCACTAATAAAGTAAAACAAGTGTCGGTTAAAAATCACTATTAAAGTAAAACAAGTGTGAGTTAAAAATCACTATTAAAGTAAAACAAGTGTCAGTTAAAAATCACTATTAAAGTAAAACAAGTGTGAGTTAAAAATCACTATTAAAGTAAAACAAGTGTCAGTTAAAAATCACTATTAAAGTAAAGCAAGTGTCAGTTAAAAATCACTATTAAAGTAAAGCAAGTGTCAGTTAAAAATCACTATTAAAGTAAAACAAGTGTCAGTTAAAAATCACTATTAAAGTAAAACAAGTGTCAGTTAAAAATCACTATTAAAGTAAAACAAGTGTGAGTTAAAAATCACTATTAAAGTAAAACAAGTGTGAGTTAAAAATCACTATTAAAGTAAAACAAGTGTGAGTTAAAAATCACTATTAAAGTAAAACAAGTGTGAGTTAAAAATCACTATTAAAGTAAAACAAGTGTGAGTTAAAAATCACTAATAAAGTAAAACAAGTGTCAGTTAAAAATCACTATTAAAGTAAAACAAGTGTCAGTTAAAAATCACTATTAAAGTAAAACAAGTGTCAGTTAAAAATCACTATTAAAGTAAAACAAGTGTCAGTTAAAAATCACTATTAAAGTAAAACAAGTGTGAGTTAAAAATCACTATTAAAGTAAAACAAGTGTGAGTTAAAAATCACTATTAAAGTAAAACAAGTGTGAGTTAAAAATCACTATTAAAGTAAAACAAGTGTTGGTTAAAAATCACTAATAAAGTAAAACAAGTGTCAGTTAAAAATCACTATTAAAGTAAAACAAGTGTCAGTTAAAAATCACTATTAAAGTAAAACAAGTGTGAGTTAAAAATCACTATTAAAGTAAAACAAGTGTGAGTTAAAAATCACTATTAAAGTAAAACAAGTGTGAGTTAAAAATCACTATTAAAGTAAAACAAGTGTTGGTTAAAAATCACTATTAAAGTAAAACAAGTGTCAGTTAAAAATCACTATTAAAGTAAAACAAGTGTCAGTTAAAAATCACTATTAAAGTAAACAAGTGTCGGTTAAAAATCACTAATAAAGTAAAACAAGTGTCAGTTAAAAATCACTAATAAAGTAAAACAAGTGTGAGTTAAAAATCACTATTAAAGTAAAACAAGTGTCAGTTAAAAATCACTATTAAAGTAAAACAAGTGTCAGTTAAAAATCACTAATAAAGTAAAACAAGTGTGAGTTAAAAATCACTATTAAAGTAAAACAAGTGTCAGTTAAAAATCACTATTAAAGTAAAACAAGTGTCAGTTAAAAATCACTATTAAAGTAAAACAAGTGTCAGTTAAAAATCACTATTAAAGTAAAGCAAGTGTCGGTTATAAACATTAAATGAGGAGCTTGTTAATAACAGTGGGATCCTGTTGTGTTTTAGTTTGATTTCTGGTATCTTATGGGCATTTAATTTTGTGTGCATTTTGAAAACTTTAAAATGTACTTTAAATTCCTTTATTCCTATCATGGTGTTTTCTGTTGGACAGTAGGATTGAAAATAGTTTGCCCTTTATGGTTCAGGTTGTGACTGTCCTTGTGCTGTGAGGACGTATGTTCTTTAGCACAGCTGATCTTTTGTAAGTGTGGATTTCCACTAAAATACGCCTTGAAATCCATTAAAACACCTTGTGGTCAATTCGATTCATGACTCATCCTTTTTTGCATTAAATAACTCAAAGTAACTAAGTAACTTTTACTCAAATTACATTTTTAATGAAGTAATTTTGTACTTTTACTTGAGTAAATTTTGAGATGGGTAATTTTACTTTTACTCTGAGTAAAATTTAGGCAAAGTAAAGGTACTTTTACTCAATTACAATTTTTTTGTACTCTTTCCACCTCTGCAAACATTTTGCATTTAAGGTAAAAAAAAAACTAACATTTCACCATCTCCAGAACTACACAAGTGGAAAAGTTTGAGTTTCTCTTCATTTAATTTAGCAAGAAATCTTCTTTAAGGAACCATTGCTGTCCGATTATTAATCGATTAATCGAAAGAATAATCCACAGATTAATGGAGTAGCAAAATAACCGCTAGTTGCAGCCCTAAAGATGACACAGGATGACAAATGTTACACAAGTCTTAATTTATCAACGACAAAAAAAAAAACATTTGTTTTTGCAAAACAAGGGAATTGCAAATAAAGGGAGCAGCAATGCAGGCATTTTACATGATCTAAAGGCATTGCTGCTGAATGCACTAATGTAAGCACGGCCATCAGAAGAAAAAAATATCAGCCAATAAAATCAGCTGTTAGTGAAGCAGTGACACCATCTCTGTTTCATCTTTTATCTTCTGCAAAACATGCCCTTTGTTTTTTATACATAATGTCTTCATCTCTGAGCAGGATGTAGTTTCACAATTTTAAGCAATGCTTAATTGCAACAGTTGCCAAGACAACATCACAGCTTCGCTCGGTCGTCCTGCTTGTATTCAACTGGACCTCTTCGACATCCTCTCTGCTGTTCTGACTCACGTCCTGCTAGTCCTGAAATGCCAGACCCGCATTCTTTCCGAGGAGGCCTTCAGAAATGAGTTGGAAGTAGAAATGCATCAATCAGAGATTTATGGAGTAATTTTGCTCGTCTGTTTTCTTTAACTCTATCCTTCTTGTTCTGATGTTAGTAAATTTGGATTCCAAGAACTCTTAAGTAACAAGAAAATCGTTTATTTTCACTTCCTGGAATCAGAGACATGTGTGACACGAGACAATGATTTCTGAGAGACGGAAGACCGAGAACAGACCGTTAAAGTTGGAGAGTAACTGAGATTAAATCGGCATTTAAACTTGGAAAAATTTACATTTAACATTAACAAAATTGCATTAATAAAATATCATCTTCTACATCTGTCAGCTGGACCGGTTATAGTCCATGTGGTGTGAGGACTCTGAGTTGGACTAAGATGCTTTCTGGGAGCCACATGTGGAACCAGATGTGATCTTAATCTGGTTTCACACTCTTAGAATAAAACATGAAGTTTGATATATTTGCTTCCTGATCCTGTTTGTCTGCAATTCTTCATATTTTGCAATAATTTCCTGCTTTATTTTCTTAAATCTGAGCTGAAACTCAGCCTAAAACCAACATTGTAGAAGAAGGCGATACATTTCAAACCTTAATCAAGCCGCTTTTCTTCCTCTCCCCAGACGACATCGCCCACGGGTCCGGGCCGCTCAGACTCGCCGGTCTACACCAACCTCCAGGAGCTGAAGATCTCCCAGTCCAGCCAGCCGCCCGTCCCTTCAGGCTCCCCGCTCCACGTCCTGGGTGACTGGGAGACCCACAAAGACCTGAGCGGGAGGTATTTCTACTACAACCGGGCCAGCGGAGAGCGCACCTGGAAGCCGCCGCGCTCCAGAGACACCTGCAGCAGCATCAGCAGCGTCCGAGGAGACAGCCCAGGAACGGCGGAGAGCGAGGTGCGATTAATCCAACAGACTGTAGTAAACAGATAAATGGAGGCAGAAGATGTCTTTCAGTCATCAATGCTCACATTCAGCGACACACAGGAGTCTGTTTGATGCAAGCTCAGATTGAATTAAACCACCTGCAGAGGTGATAAGTTGATTCTGTAACTTAAAAAAAGGTTATAAAATAGCATCTATGCACTGAATAAGGAATAAGTAAAAATTTCTCAAATTGAGTGAATTTACCCTTAATTTCAGTAGGTAAATGACAAGATTTGCCAATTGAATGAGTATTTTTACTCTTAAAATAAGATATTTAGATATAAATGCATTTGAAATAAGACAATGTAATTGTGTTTTCTTATTTTAAATGTAAATTGTCTTGTTTCATTGGCAAAATATGTCTTTTACCTTCTAAATTCAAGAACAAATGCACTTATTTTAAGAAATAATGACTTATCTAGATTTAGATTTTTCCAGTGTGTTACACGGCAAAAACATTCTGAAAATTGGTAAAAAAAATTCTTAAAATAAGTGTATTTACCCTTAATTTTAGTATGGAAAATAAGATGATCTGCCAATGGAATTGGCATTTTTACCCTTAAAGTAAGATAATTTCACATTATGCACTTGAAATAAGAGACTGTTTTTGTTTGTTCTTATTTCAAATGTAAATTGTCTTGTTCCATTAGCATGGTGTCAAACTTACCTGCTTAATAGCAGAAAAAACGTACTTATTTTAAGAAAAATTGACTTATTTAGATTTACATTTTTTGCAGTGTATGTAAAATGATTTAAATAAATAAAATCAACCCTACTTATAAACTAGGATTTAACCTGCTTTTGATGCCTTTTGGTGCCTTTAACTGTTTGGTCTTCAATAAATGGCTCAGGACAGGATTATATGGATTCTCTGCACATTTCCTTTAGTGAAACATGGTGGTGGAAGAATCATGATGAGGGCGTAAAGATGGATAGATGCTCGCTTTGAACAGAGCTGCCCAAATTATATTTATATTAAATTTACACCTCAAAATAAAAAAAAGCAACACACCGGGGACCCCCTTAAAAATCCATATGATTACTTTAGATAGATTTGTTTTAATGACATTTATTTTATTGAATTTATCATTTAAAAAGATATTTTTTTAATAATTAATGGAACATTTTATTATTTAATTACAATTAATTGCATATTTAGTGCATGAATCATGCGCTAGATACAGAAAGAAATGTTGCATCTGATTATTTTATGTTAAATTTAAGTATTTTATTGCATATTTTGGCCCTTCATAGATCATAATGATCCTGAAAACCAGTTTGCGACGCGCTTGTTAGTGGAAGTGGGCCCCCTCCCCGCTTAAGGTTGCGTTTCTGCAGTGAAGTAGCTTTAATTAAATCTGAATCCAGTGTGGAATCATGTATTAAACCTTATTTATTCACACAATAAATGACTTCTGGACGTAATTATGACAAATATAGGTTTTTTAAATGTATTGTTTACATATCAGAGGGACAATTATAAATTATGGATGAAGTTTTTTGATGTTTAGACATAAAAACTCTGCGGTGAGGGTTTGGTGAACCTCAGGTCTGTATAAAACACTCTTGCGGTCGCTGAAAGGAAAGGAAACAAGCACCTTTGATGTGGGAGAAATTATAGCTTCCTGTCAGGTTGGCCGTCATTCAACACTGCCCCCATGTGGCCATGTAACATACTGCGGTGGATTTAAAAGATTAAAACTGTTTTCACTTTCTGGTATGAAAATATAGGAAGTAAATGTTCTATTATTGTTTCAAGCAAAGAAAATGTTGAATAAATAGAAATGTAAAAAAAAAATGTAAAGAGAAAGGAAATTTTGTAAAACTTTTAATAAAAACAAGGTTTTCAGATTGCAGATTTTTTTTTTTTTTTCATTTTTTTATAGATAACAAATTTGCAACTAATTTTTTTTATATTTCTTTTCTCCAGATTGCATTTTTTTTTTCCAAATTGTGTTAGACAGATCGAATTCTCTTCAGTTTAAGCCCAATAAACGCTTGTTATTGATTCACACATTGACCAATAGAAATGCAGCTTTAACTCCTCCCATCAGAGGGAAGCCGTCTGAAGAAGTGCACAGAATGTGATCTGAAAAATGAAATTTGTAAAACTAAATCTGAAAAAGAAATATAGAAAAAAAAAATAGAAAATATAAGAACTAATAATAAAAAAATATGAGAAAAAAATTTTATTTAAAGAAGTAAAATTTAAAAGAATAAAAAAAAATGTAAGACTAACATTTCTCTTAGATAATTAAAGAAAATGCATTTAAAAAATGAAACAAGTCCCGTTTTTATTAACATTTTTTTTTTATTTTTATGGATTTATTTTTTTCTTTTCCATTTTCAAAAACTTTGAAGCAATAATGAAACTAAATTAAATTAAATAAAAATGAAGCGTTAGAAAGCACACATAAGGCGCCAAACTCTCCTCAGATGTTTATAATCTAACCCTTCTGTCTCCTGTCCTTCCTCAGCCTCTGTCCTCAGAGGACAACTGCCACAGCACCCATTCCAGCCAGTCAGACAGCCAGTACGGATCGCCCCCTAGAGGCTGGTCGGAGGAGCTGGACGAACACGGACACACCCTCTACGTGTCCGAATACACGCAGGAGAAGGTGGGAAAGGCGCTCTGAGTGAGCTTCCTCTCTAAGTGCTTCCGGACGCTGAGCGCTGTCTGTTTCCGCAGTGGATCAAACACGTGGACGAACAGGGCCGGCCGTACTACTACAGCGTGGACGGATCCAGGTCAGAGTGGGAGCTGCCCAAGGTGAGATGATCTCGTTAGCATCAGAGGCCTCTCTTCCTGTGGGTAACAAACAGCCGTTACATCACCCAGCAGAGCGCTCTAATAGGATGAAGGTTTAAAGGTCAGAGAAACCAGTCAGGGATGGGCTATTTGCGTCTTTGCTCTCGCTAATCTGGAGCCCGCAGATCAAACCGTCTGCTTCCTTAATTAACAAGCGTCAGACGGCGGCACAATGCTCGATTCCCGTAGATAAGGATGCTCAGTGGGTCTGTGTCCAATGCTGCTGTGGGTGGTCAGAGGAGAGGTGAGGCGGCGCTTCCTTGACGACCTGCTGCCGTCGTCTAATGAGCTACATCTCTCTGCTCTGTCCCTGCAGTATAACATCTCCCCTCAGCCCGGAGAAGTTCCTAAGAGTCGCAGTTTGGAGAGGAAGCAGCCGGATCCCATCGTCCTCACCAAGTGGAGACACAGCACCTACGTCTTAGACCTCAACGACAAGGTGAGACACCGGCTGCTGTCTACAGTGGAACCCGACTTCTGCTTCATTTTAAGGCTTAAAAATCAAATTCATGACTTAACAGGAAAGATGAGCTATTTATTCCTCTAAATAATGTTTTTATGTATATTTTAAACCATCCTGAGGTCTCAGTAATTAACTTATGTGGTTTCAGGAAATTAATGAAGCTTCTAATCAAGCATTTTCACCTAAAACATCTAAAAAGTTTGAATTACGTCATCGTGCACCAACCGAGGCTCTCCAAATTCCAGTCTCTCTTATTTTTTTTCTTATTCCTGACTCCTAAATCCCTGCTCACATTGAATTAGTTTTATTAAAAGCACAAATGTATAAAATAAATTATCCCCTAAATCTGCTTCTTCATTCACCAAAAGAAAAAAAAATCAGACAGCTTATCTCATTAATTGATTAATTACCGTAAATTCCAGACTATAGAGCGCACCTGATAATAAGCTGCACCGGATTTTAAGCCGCAGGTTTCCCACGTTGTATGAGATATTTACAAATAAAGATATTACACGTGAGCATTTTTTTAACGTTTGATTTAATCCGTATGATAAAAACAAACAAATACGGTACATATTATGAATGCTTTTTTTTTTTTTTTCAAACCACCTGTAACACATTTAAATATACGTATGTGTCGGTAACACGCAAATAACGCCGCATATAACTTACTTTTAATTGAACAACGCACAGAACATTGCAGCCGACCTGGAAAAGTCATTAATCGCTTTCTTCTTCCTCCCGCGCACTAAAACCCTCAAAGTCCTCTTCCTCGGTGTCTGAATGGAACAGCTTCAGGATGCCGTAGCTGACTTCAGTCTCATCCTTGTCGCTCTCACTTGTCTGTTTTTCGCACCATGAAAAAAAACACGTATTATCCGCACTGTATTCTAGGCCGCAGTGTTCAAACGGCGCGAAAAAAGTAGCCGCTTATAGTCTGGAATTTACGGTAATTAATGAGATAAGATCTCGTAAATCCCAAATCCTAGATCCTCAAGGAGAACAGCTGAGGCTCCGTTTAAAACGACAGGATCCCAACTTTATGTGGTATGTCGATTCATATGAAAAACTCAAACTATACGGAATCTGTATTAATGGAGCTGTTGGGCGGATTTTCGCGTTTCTGGCTGCATGCTAACTCCACAAGCAGTAATCCCAGGGTTACAGCTAGGTACTTTATTGATGAAGTGGAAAATTGGAGCGTAACTCCAGCGTCTATCAGGTCAGACCTCGGTACAGTGGAACAGATGCAGATATTTTTAAGACGTAATCATGAAGACCAGTTTTCTGAGAGATGCTTCATTACTGACTCAAGTAATTATAACCATATATATATTAGGGATGGAACAGTTTATGAAAACCGTCCAAACCATTCGGTTTGACTGTCTCGGTTCGGTTCGCGTGTGTTTCGTTCGGTTCATGCGCTGCTCCTTTTTCTCATAGAGGAAGCGATTACACTCCAGAGCAGAAGGTGGCGGTACTGCGACCAAAGCCAACCACCAGTAGTAAACAAGAAGAAGAAGCGAAGCAGCGTAGCCGGGTGTAGCAGAAAAAAATCAGTTGTTGTGGAGAATTGTGTGGGTATGGCGAGTGGGAAAGAACAGGAGTTGGAAGACGCGCCAGCAGCACTTTATAGGTCTGCTGTATTGGACCACTTTGCATTTAGAGTGACCTACGATGACGGCGGAAAGAAAGTTGTGGATAAAAGTGCAACAGTGTGCGAGCATTGTGCAACACGTTTTGTTTACGCTAACAGCAACACGACCAACATGTCAGGCTAACTATTAACATATACCGAACCGAAAACCGTGACCACGAAACAGTGAACCGAACCAAACCCTGGATTTTGGGAACCGTTCCACCCCTAATGTATAGATAAGATCTTGTAATTATCCATCCATCCATTTTCTTTACACGCTTAATCCCAAACGGGGTCACGAGGGGGGCTGGTGCCTATCTCTACCCGTCTATGGGCGAGAAGCGGGGTACAGGCGGAGTACCCGGAGAGAACCCACGCATGCTCAGGGAGAACATGCAAACTCCATGTAGAAAGGAATCAAACCCAGAACCTTCTTTCTTCAAGGCAGAAGTGCTACCTGCTGTGCCACTGAGCAGCCAGACCTCGTAATTATGAAATCTTTAATCATAATGACTAGATAAGATCTCGTTATTACGAGATAAAATCTCGTAATAATGAGATACTGATCTCATAATTATGAGATCAGCTGTCTTTTCTTTGGTGAATGCAGTTAAATTAAATAAAAAAAAATGCATTATTTCTTAAAATGTAATCATTTTTATATATTTATCTCATGGAGTTCATCATTTTTTCACCTGTGCAATGCATGCTGGGTAGATAAGGGTCCTATAGAACTGGAACCAATAGAGTAAACACAGGCAGGCTAACGTTAGCGGAGCTGTTTTTGTTGGGTTTGACTGGTCTTAATTCAGGCAATATTACATTGAGTCACTGCCTCACAGTTTGCTTGAACTGTTATACATGAATATATCAGTGGAAATCAGCTTTTGATCTACTGTTTACTATATTAGCCAGAGCTAACACCATTAGCATAAGCTAACGGGAAGTCAAAATCAAATCAGGAGATCATGACCGGCCGTTTTAAAGTGACAGTGAAGCATCTTTCTTTCTGGTTTCAGTAAATCTATCAAAATATTTTGATGCTAACAGTAAAAAGCTTCTGTTAGAAACTGGAGCTCTTTATTTTAGCACACTCCCGTTTAAAATGAACATTTTAATGCTAATAATAGCTGTTTTAGCTCACAGAGCTACAGGATTTAGCACTCAGCAACATCCGTATGACAATATGTTTTAAAATGTTTTAAAATTAAACGGCTAACAGTGTTTCTACATCAAAAACTGAAAAGTAGAAAAATATAATAATAATAATAATAATACATTTTATTTAACAGCGCCTTTCTTGACACTCAAGGTCACTTTACAAATAATACAAAAAAATAAAATAAAAAGAGATGAAAATACAAAATACAGATACAGGAACATAAAAGACAAAAAAAACAATCATGGATAGGAAAAAGAGCAGTATAAATAAGCACTTTTCTAAGATGTAAAGAAAGCAGAGCAGCAGCCGTTATCACAGAGCTGTAACATGCTCTTAAAACAGGATTTAATATGGATATTAATGTTTTATGATATAACTAAATTAAATTCAGCCACAAACATGATTAAAGAGCTTTTGTTTCTTTTTAAATCTTGTCATATTAAGCCACCATTTGCATTTGCTCCTTCTCCAGCCTTTTTTCTGCTAAGGTTTGCAGACCTACAGTAGGACCCAAAACGACCTCCTTCTCCTTCATTCTTCACTAAAAAACAGTAAAATATAACATCAGGAGTGTTGAATTCCCCATGATTCCCTTTCCTCTCTGGGTTAGTATTATTACAGGACCTCAGCGTTACACAGCGAAATATAGTAGGTATTCTGCAGGGGAATGTTTACTTTACAAATTACTGACATGGCGGATTTACACGGGATTAGACACACAGACAATCTCAGATTATTACAAATCTGATGTGGATAAAACCAATCCGCTGGAGATAGGGTTTAAGACTCCTTCAAATGCAGCAGATAAATGTGTTCTTCTCTTCCTGGATTGGGTCCTTCATGGCCCACCGTTTGGATCAACGTGTAACAGCCAGGCTTAGACAGCAATGGTGGATGACGATGAAATAAAATGGGATTACAAACAGATTTATGATGCTTTCTATGACCCAGAGTAAACATTAATAAGGGTTTTAGGTCAGAATTAAGCTTTGTTACACTGAAAAAAATGTAAATAATGCATATTTTCTAATTATCTTATTCTAAGAGTAGATATAATTCCATTGGCAGATCCTCGTAATTCAACTCAGATTAAGGTTAAATACGCTTCATTTAAGACAGTTTCTAGATAGTTTTTGCAGTGCATCTTCTCTGCTGGTCAATATGTAACTTATTTCTTTTTTTTTCCTGTTTCCTAAGACCCAATTATTTTGCAGTTTTTCATATATACACTCACATCAATTTCAAACATAGTGTCGGTATCGGCCGATGCTGCACAGCCAGGTATCGGATATCGATATCGGGACCAAAAAAATGGCATCAGCGCAACACTAATTATATTGTACCTTACTATTTGTTGCTGCTCTCCTTTAAATTCTGGTGACCCCCCCCCCCCTTTATTAACATTTATCACTTTAACTCTTAAAATACCAGCAAGTCCTCATTTTCTCCAGGTCTCCTCTCTAATCTCAGACCTCCTGTGATTGGCTGCTAGTTCTTTACCACTCATCATGTTGTGCCTTGTGTTGGTAGGAGTGTGCTTCGGCGCCCAAGCACAGCTCTCCAGACTCTGACTCCTGCCCATCATCTCCTAAACTCCCGTCATCCGTTAGTATCCTTGCTCACGCTGCTCCTTCCTGCTTCCTGCACCCGGCTCTTCTCTAACTGCTTCCACACAGGGCCGCCATCTTTTCACGCATTCATGACAATAATGATACATTCCTGCCCAGCAGATTTCCTCTGTGTTTCTTCTGTTGTCACAGGTTTTGTTAAAGCTTAAGATTTATACGACTGTATAAGTAGAAACAGAAATCATTCTACTTTTGCCAAGGATAAAAAAGATACGTAAACTGTCATGGATGTAGGTGAATTACGGCCCAATGATCCTAATCTGTAAAAAGAAAGTTTGACCCAATTTGCAGAGTTTTCTGTTTTCTAACTAGGCTGTTTCTTCCAGCGCCGACTGCCTGTTTTAGGTTTAATCCAGGCTTTGATTTAGGCTGCGCCCACATGCAGACTAAATAATGCTACCTTTAAAAAAAAAACTATTTAGATAAAGGACTACATTTCCTGTAGTTTGCATGCCGGGCCCATAGGGGGCACTGTGACATTATCTGCACAGACACCTCATGCTGGATAAACTCAGCAATTTGTTTAAAGGAACCATAACCTAGTATGTTAGCTATCTAATCTTTCTGAAATTTACTTTAAATTATTGTTTAATAATTTTAGTAGAAAAATAAATAAAATAGAAATAATTCAGAGCACATTTTATACCCCGTTTTTATCTCATGTGGTTGTAGTTTTATCGACACTAACAATTATAAATGTTTATTGGACTCTTACACCAGTGTTTCCCAGCCTGAGGTACGCGTACCCCTAGTGGCCGGCAAGCGCATTGCAAGGGGTACATGAAAATATTTTTATTTTAAAGGTAGTAAAATAAAATAGGGCTGGATCGGTTTTACTTTGTGAAGACGCATTTAAAAAGCAATGAGCTATACAGCAGGAGATCAAAGCAGCTCGGGTGTCTTGATGAAAACAAAGTAAAACTAATTAACTAAGTCTGACTATAAGTTTTGTTCTGTATTTCGTTCCCAATTCATCCAGTTACTCAGAGGATCTCAAGTTTTATAAATACAGGTTTATAACATGATTTTATTTTGTATTTATTTCGATTTCACGGAAAAACGATCTAAAAATAAGTAGAAATGTCTTAAATTAAGTGTGTTTACGCTTAATTTGAGTAGGTAAATGAGTATTTTTGCTCCTAAAATAAAATAATTAGATAAAATGCACCTGAAATAAGACGATGCAATTGTGTTTTCTTATTGTAAGTGTAAATTGTCTTGTTCCATTGGCAAAATCTCTCTTTTACCTCCTCAATCCAAGAACAAATACACTTATTTTAAGAAAAAACAACTTATATTTCGATTTTTTTTCCAGTGTTCTTACAGACTTCCAGACAACATAATTATGTTGTATTTTTTTATTTGATTTGTAAATAATAAAATGCCCTAAGAACTACATCGTCTTGTTAAAAGATGAAGTAAAATAATATTTTTTTATTAATCTTTATTTAACCAGGAAAAAAACAGAATAAACCCTTGTTTTAAATAGAGTCCTGGCCAAGAGGCGGCAAAGTTACATAATAAACAGAGATACATTAAATTAAATGACAGGTACATAAAAAAAACACATCAAGTATAATAATTACAGATCGTTGAAGCTGCTTAATATCTTTCACTTTCAACTTAAAAGCATCATTACTTTTATGCAGTTTTTGTTTATACAATCATAAATGCTTTTGACTGAGAGGGGGACTCATGGTGAGACAAAATGCCCAAAGGGGAACACAAGTCAAAAAAGGTTGGGAAACACTGACTTACAAAACAGGTAAAAAGTTACACAAGCAGCAACGCTTACCGACTGCTTGCACCACTTTTATCTCTCAACAGATGACCAGAGATGGGAAGTAACGAAGTACAAATACTTCCTTACTGTACTCAAGTAGATTTTTCTGATATTTTTACTTTACTTTACTACTTATTTTTATGCCGACTTTTTACTTCTACTCCTTACATTTTTACACAAATATCTGTACTTTCTACTCCTTACATTTAAAAAAATTGGCTCGTTACTTTAGTTTTGAATCATTTCAATGGAGTTACCATTATTATTTTTCACGTCATCAATACCAAATTCAGTCTAATTGGATGGGAATCTACGTTGCATTTGACGCACCACTACAAGATAATTCGACAGATTCGGCGGTATTCATTGGCGGCAAATCATTGCAGCTTGGTGGCGGTGGCGTTAGCATAGTAGCATGGACGACGAGATGATTGAAAATGAACACAACGGAGATCTAGTTCTATTGGCAGACATCCATTTAAAATGTAGGCAACGGCATGAAAAAAGTGCTTTCTACTTTTACTTTTATACTTTAAGTAAATTTACAAGCCTGTACTTTGTTACTTTTACTTGAGTAAAGAAGTTTAATCAGTACTTCCACTTTTACCAGAGTATTTTTTAACACAAGTATCTGTACTTTTACTCAAGTACGGAAATTGATTACTTTTGCCATCTCTGCAAATGGCATCAATAAAGGACGACCAAACTAGCTTTATGGAGCGTTTATAGTTTCAACAACAAGCCAAATTAAACAAACCAAGCCACTTTCACACCTTAGATTTTCAGGCAGGTTTAACCTAAAGTTTAAACGACACATTTCACATTCAATTCAATTTTGAATTCACTTCAGTTTATTTCATTAGCACTTTGGCAGATGGCCGCTCACACTGAGCCTGGTTCTGCTGGAGGTTTCTTCCTGTTAAAAGGGAGTTTTTCCTCTCCACTGTCGCTACAAGCATGCTTAGTGTGAGGGATTGCTGAAGAGTCAATGAGTCGATGCAATCAGCTGGTTTTCCTTAGATAGAAAACTTTAAATCAATCTGACTGGATGATCTAGTTGAACTGTAAAGTGCCTTGAGATGACGTGTTGTTAATTGGACCTATAGAAATAAACTGAATTGAATCCTTTGCATGACAGGATATTTAGGCACCGCCCACCTTATGGAGTTATATTATTTTTTTCACCTTACTGGGTGTGTTACACATGCTAATGTACACTCCTTCACATGTTTTGAATGTTATAACTTAGAGCTTCTGCCGTTCTCTACTTTCGCCATTGATGTGAGCGTCGGCCTCGTATTGATGTCTGCAAAGCTCCTTTCCTGTAGCCTGGTGAGACCATCCTGATCTCGCGAGCTTTCAAGATTTCACTCGCAGATCAGTCTGGAGACTCTCCGTTAAAGAAAATTTGGAGCCGTTCACCAAACGAACGTCCAATCAGCGTTGGCTTTGAGGCGGGTTGAGGTGTGACGCAAAGAGACTACAACACGCCCCCTGCCCCGGTGGATGAAGTTGATGCTGACTTCCTAAACGGACTAAATAACTTCTTTGGGAGGTTTGAGGCACTAAATCGCACTCCAGCAGTGAAGGCTGTCCCACATCAGGAAGAGGAGGTTCTCTGCCTTGACACAGCCGACGTGTGGAAGACTCTGAGGAGGGTCAACCCGCGGAAGGCCCCAGGTCCCGACAACATACCTGGGCGGGTGCTCAAGGAGTGTGCAGGTCAGCTAGCTGGTGTCCTCACGGACATTTTTAACACCTCGCTGGAGCAAGCCACAGTGCCAGCATGCTTCAAGTCTGCCTCCATCATCCCAGTGCCAAAGAAACCTCAAGTCACCTGCTACAACGACTACCGGCCCGTCGCACTGACTCCCATCATGATGAAGTGCTTTGAAAGGCTGGTAAAGGAACACATCGTCTCCAGTCTCCCCCCAACACTCGACCCGTTCCAGTTTGCCTACCGGCGAAACCGCTCCACTGAGGACGCCATCTCCTCTGCTCTTCACCTGAGCCTGGCCCACCTGGAGGAGAAGAACACCCACGTGCGGATGCTGTTCCTGGACTTCAGTTCAGCGTTTAACACCATCATCCCACAGCACCTGGTGGGAAAGCTGGAACATCTGGGCTTCAACACACCCCTTCGAAACTGGCTGCTGGACTTCCTCACCAACAGACCTCAGTCAGTCCGGGTCGGTCAGAACACCTCTGATGTCATCACCCTCAGCACGGGCTCCCCTCAGGGCTGCGTCCTGAGCCCCCTGCTGTTCACCCTGATGACATATGACTGCGTCCCCAGGTTCACCACCAATCACATCGTGAAGTTTGCGGACGACACCACGGTGGTGGGCCTCATCAGGGACGACAACGACCGGGACTACAGAGAGGAGGTGGAGCAGCTGGTGGACTGGTGCAGTGAAAACAGTCTGATCCTGAACGTGGAGAAGACGAAGGAGATCATCGTCGACTTCAGGAAAAACCGCCCCCACCATGCTCCACTGCTCATCAACAGCTCAGCTGTGGAGGTGGTCAGCAGCACAAAGTTCCTGGGGGTGCACATCACGGACAACCTCACCTGGACTGTAAACACTTCATCTCTAGTGAAGAGGGCACAGAAGCGCTTGTACTTTCTGCGGAGGATGAGGAGAGCCCGCCTGCCCCCGCCCATCCTCACAACCTTCTACAGAAGCACCATAGAGAGCGTTCTGACCAGCTGTCTCTCTCTGTGGTGTGGAGGCTGCAGAGCTTCTGACTGGAAGAATGTGAGGAGGGTGGTGAGGACAGCGGAAGGAATCATTGGGGCTCCTCTTCCCTCCATTAAGGACATTTCATCACAGCGCTGTGTGTCCCGAGCCCGTAATATCATCAAAGACCCCTCACACCCCCACCATGGACTGTTCTCCCTGCTGCCCTCTGGAAAGAGGTTCCGCAGCATCCGCTGCAGATCCACCAGGTTGTGCAACAGCTTCTTCCCCACTGCCATCAGACTGTTGAACCTTTGATCCACAATCCGAACTCTGCACCTATTGCACATTATCGGGCATCAAATGCTGCTGAACTTTTAACTTTTAGCCCTTTAAATTGTTCATCTCATTGTATTTTTCAATAACGCATTTTTTGCACAAATGCCATTTTGCACTGAACCACTGCGACTTGCACACTGTCTCTTATCCTCTGCACTGTTCACACTTTGACCACTGCTGCACTTTTTGTATTTTTCTATAACTCGTGCCATTTGAAATATCAATGCAACGTTCATAAGCTGTATGTAACGCAATTTCGTTCTGTATGCACCCTGTGCATACAAAATGACAAATAAAGAAGTCTAAGTCTAAGTCTCTAGTCTAAGTCTAAGTCTAAGAGAAGCGCGACAGTTCAGTCTAAAGAACATGGCGGCTTCAGCCGATGAAACTAGCGTTAGCGTGGCTATCGAGCAAGTTTTATCGGAATTACAGAGTATTTCTTCACTGAAAGAAGAGCAAAACACTGCTCTGGAGGCTTTTCTCAGAGGAAAAGATGTTTTTGCTCTTCTCCCGACTGGTTTCGGCAAGAGTTTGATCTATCACTTGGCTCCTCTTCGTCGTCGCTCTGTTAGTACGTCATATGCTTCGTTGATCTGATTGGTTTATTTGGCCCGTCTATCACCAACATAGGCCAATCAGCTAACCAGTATTTTGGCCCCTTCCCAAAATTACTTCAACGGAAGGTTTCCAGATGGATATGCGGAGCAAATCCATCTGGCGGAGTCAGGTTAACTCGATAGTTTTCTCACTGTTGACCTCCAGAAGGTTTGAAGAATTGGAGCAAGGAACCAAATTTAAGATTCTCAGATCGAGGCCTAAACTATTGTCTGGTGGAAAATGTTGAAACCACTTTAGACAATTCATTTAACTTTTAGTTTATTCAGTTTAGTTTATTGATCATCTTTGGATGGTTTGCAGACCCACATGTTCTTAAACTCAGGGTCAGGAACTGATACACAGACTTTGTTCTTCATTACTTTCAGTTAGAGAACCATGTCAGTGATTTGGATCAAATAAACTAAGATCCCACCATGTTTCACCATCACTTTGATGATTATCTTCTTGTTTAAAGCCAGATCTAATGGGGTGCAGACCGTTCAAAGCGTTCCTTTTTGTCCCACAGAATATTTGCCTAAAGGTTGTAGCGATCATTTTGTAAGTAAAATGTTAGACAGGACTTTTTTCATTTTTAGGTCAGGGATGGTTTTGATAGGATTAAGATAAACAGCTTTTTCAGTCATTACTCAAAGTGATTCCTTCTCCAGATCTTTTTACCCTGCTTCATTCTGTCAGACAGGTTCTATGCAAGGATCCTCTGATTCTACAAATACAGAAGTAGAAACACAGAAGCTAAACAGTTTATCACAGTTAGTTGATTGCCCTTCTTTTACTTAATAAGTGAAAATGTGAAAACATCTTTTTGTATTTATTCTGGTTTGTGGGGCCATTTATAGCGAGACTGGTGTGAAAAATAATATAGAAAAAGTTAAAAACAATCCACTGGACTTTGCTTCCAAGTTTAACTATGTATCCAGCAGTGGCGGTTCTAGACTAAATGTACCAGGGGGCCAGCGTGTTTTCCAGGGGGGCACAGAAAAGCATGAAATAAAAAACAGGACAAGGGGTTAAAATATATTAAGAGAAGTGAAATTGTCTTTTCAATTAGGTTTAATTAAAATTATATCTCTTATTAGGTCAATATACTTTCATAAGTTAGTAACTTTACATATTTTTGACTTAATTTAAGTTAAAATGACCGTTGTCTATAAAATCAGAATAAGAAATCAAGAACATACGATAAATTCAGCTGTCAAAATTAGAGCATTCTTTTATTTGTTTTAAAAAACAACATTTAGCAGATGAAAACTGGAATCCTATCTCAGTACCACTGAAGCTATCACCTTATTGTTTTTAAATAATTAGTAAAATATAAATTGTAGAGAAAAAAATTAAATAGATCCAAAGAACCTGTCAGTAACCATGTCTATTCCAGTGCATCATAAGAATTTCTCTGAGTATTATGTCTTCAGTGCAGGGGCCATAACAGGGGCCAGGACGGGATCTACAGGGGCACTGGCCCCCACTGGAACCTGTCTAGAACCGCCAATGGTATCCAGGAAGTTTTTTCAATTCAAAATGTCAGAAATAGTGTTGAGTTTGAGGTTTAGTTGAAAACAAAGTTCAGTGGATTGTTTTTTTTTTACTTTTTTGACCTGACCTGGATTACTGAGAACCTTCACCAGCAATACAGAGACAGGTTTTAAGACAGATTATTAGTATTTATTGTTTATTTTGTCTATTTGCTTATGAATTTAAATCTCTGTAGTAAGTGTTTGGCTTTGTTTGCATCAGAGATCTGTAATTATATATGAGCAAACCCCTCACCCAGCTCTGCCTGCCTGCTGCATAAAGCTGCTTTAACGTCTGCATTATGCTGCCATCTGCTGGTAGAAAGTGGACACTACATGAAGCGCCAGCAGATCGCAGCCATTCAACATTTTTCTGTGCTTGTAAGTCTTTAGTAGATATACTTTTCTGATTGGGTGAGTTTAACTGTTTCTGTTTCTCCCTCCTCAGCCCTCTGAGAAGTGTGGAGTGCTCAATGTCACTAAAATCACAGAGAATGGAAAGAAACTCAGGTAGGTCTGTGCAGAACTCTGTGGAAACATGTGGAAGGTGGTTCTGTAGTCCGATTAGGCCTACAGGGACTTTAGCCCTGCAGGAAACCATGGAGTAAATGTTCCCTTATTGATGCAAAGAAAAGATGACTTGTAAATGGAAATTAATAAAAAAATCTAACCAAGAATTTTACTGCTCTATACTTGTGGCAATGTAATGGCAATAAGAAAGCTGGAATAAAAAAAGTTTATTTGCAAAAATGGATAAATGCCATTTTTTAAAAAGTGAACCGAGGAATGTAATTTACTCTTAACATGGTGCTGCTAAGAAAAACGGTGTTATTTTTTGTTGAAAATTTATAAAAACATAATTATCTGTTTTTGCAGATGAACTCTTCATATAAAGATTTTAGATTATTTAAATATATATACAGAACATTTGAAACAATGAAATATATGAAAACAGCAAAGTAACTTGAAATCTTTCTTGATTAAGAAATTTCCTTTCTTGATTGAACATTTTTATTTTTTTTTTTTTGCAATAATAATGGAACAAAATTAACCCCATATAAAACCAGAGCTCTAATTTTGAGCTACTAGTAGCTTAACATGACGTATATGGAAGTAAAACATATGAAAAATCTGCCTTTTTTTTGTACACCGAATTTTAAACACTGAATGTTTTTTACACAGTAAATTCATTACACTGAAATTTTATCTTGCAAAAATTAAGCCGCAAAAAAATTCATAAAAAAAAAAAAAATCTGTTGCATTTTCTGACAAAAAGAGCGAATTTCATTGGCTAGGAGCTGCTCGACTGCATCGAGTGACCAACAGGTCAACACATTTGCAATATAATTTTTTGCAGCTGAATTTTTACCAGACATAAATTCAGTTTAAGGAATTCAATGTGTAAAAAAAAAAAATCAGTGTTTAAAATTCTGTGTACAAAAAAAGTCAGATTCCAATGGGACTGTTTTTCTTCCATAGACGTGCAGCACAGAGCCACAGTTATAATAACTCACTCAGCCCAGGCCTTTATGCAAATAATATAATCCAGGGAGACTATAAATACAGATTTTAATCTCTAAATGTTAAAAACTCTGATTCTGGTTCTGCAGTGGCTGCTAATATGTGCTTCAGTTTATTGATAACAATGTTAGAACCTACTGATGTGAATTTTGTAACACAATGCTGTAGAGTCCAGAGATGAGGAGCACTATAGCAGAGCAATAAATCACTTTGTGTTTTTTTGCAACCAACAGGAAGAACTGGACGTCCTCCTGGACCGTGCTGCAGGGTTCCTCCCTCCTCTTTGCGAAGGGGCAGGGGGGCAGCGCCTCCTGGGTATGTAACCATCATCCCGACACTAAGTTCTCTCAGCGTTCATCTCAGTGACTCCTCTCTCCTGGTTCTCTCTGAGTAATCTTCTAGCCATCTGTTCTGTTCATTGCTGCTCTGCTTCCCTCTCCTCTCTGAAGTCGTACTGCCGCAGCGGCTCCATCCCAGAGCTGCTCCTCACTCTCCTTAGCAGCTGGAAGCGCTCGGTCAAGCCCCGCCCCGCTGTCTGCTATGTGAACTGTGGGCCTGTGCAGGCTGCTGCTGTATGTCCCCCATCTCAGCATGAATCAGCCCCTCCTTGTGTCCTCCTTAGTGGCTCCTCCCCTTCAAACTTAAACCTGATTAATGTTCTTGACTGGAGCTAAATTTGTGATTATCTCATTAATTTCTGCACAGTGAACAATAGAAGGCATGTCTAACCTTGGTGTGAAGTATTCTCTCTTAATGGTGTTTGACATTTTCCACTTCTAACTTAACCTTTATCTTCTATGACTGATGCTAAAAATATAAATAGAAACATCTACATCTTTTAAACTAATGCTGATTTGGGATTTATAAAAGTATTAGTAAATTAAGTGAAGTTTATTTCTATAGAGCGCCAACCTGCTGGTTAATCCGTACTCAACCTGATTTAAAACAATCTATAAATTACCGCATGTTGTTGGACGACAGTGTCTAACTTCACTTGCTCCTCTTCTCCTGTTAATACGGTAAAGTCCTCCGGCGCATCCGGCTCCAGGTTGCACGTGATCCAAATGAGCCATTGGCTACATTTACATGGACACAACTAATCGGATTGAAGGCCTGATCAGATCAAAAATGTTTCATGTAAACATGTCAGACTGAAGATTCTAATCCGATTCGGTCCGATCGGATCTAAATTTAATTCCGAAAGAGAGAGGTGGTTTTTGCCGATCGCCATTCCGATTGGCGTCCATGTAAACACCCATTCGGATCTTAAGAGTAAAATAATCTTCACTGCGCATGTGTGCGACGTCAGCGTGACGTTTTTCCGCCTTGTCAACAACAGCAAACCACCGGTCGCTCTCGCTCTCGCTGTGAACAACATGGCGGGAGGAGTCTAGGAACGCCGACTTATACACTCAAGTTCATTTAAAGCTGCAGGAAGCAGAAATTTATCCTCTTCCTCTTTTCTCTCTCCACAGCCCACTCGCTCTCCCACGCCGGTTCAATCGCTCATTCTCTACATTTTCTCTCGTACATTTCGCTGCCAATCGCTTTTTTCCTCCTCTCTCCTTTTTTCTTTCCGCTCGCTCCGAGCGCATCGTTTGTCAGGCCTCCCAAAAACCAGACGCAGACAGAACTGCCAAGTTTGGCAGGAAGTTCTGCGCATGCTTAAAAGATTTAATCTGATCCAACGCTTGGTACATGTATACACACGTCATGATCGGATCATTTCATTTAGTGTCCATGTAAACGGAGATTTTGATTTTCCGATCAACCAAGGTTTGGATCGGATCGGGGAAATTTTGCGCATGTAAACGTAGCTAATGAGCTGTCAGTCTGGGTTGCTGCTGCTGCTACTTTTAGACACAGCAGGCAAACCTGTGGCAAGCCGGGCGATGGGAAAGAAGGAGAAGACCATGAGAAAAAGAGAGCAGAGAAAGTGTGGACTGCTGGAAGAACTGCGGTGAACTGGTGAAAGAAAAGTGAAATGGCGTGCTCAAAGATGACCCTGCACATTTAGAGGATGTTTGGCTCAACCTGCTGCTGTGAAGCAGGATTCTCCACCATGAACAGAATCAACAATAAATCTGGATCCAGGCTCAGAATGAGCTCCTTGATATGTGCTTGGGAATGGCTTAGTCTCTGGTTAAACCCAGGTTTAAAGCCTTGCAGGGCAGCCTAAAGCCCACTGCCAACATTAAGACAGAAAAAAAGAAAGAAAAACGGTCAGTTCAGGTGGATATCCCAATAAATGGCCATTATTAGCGGTTATCAGTCCCATAGATTAGCTTCAAATTGTGCTAGCAGGCTCAGTAGGTTATTATCACAAAGTGAATCTGCCTTAATGGCAAGACAAATTTATTTATATAGCACAATTCAGTACAAAGACAATCCAAAGTGCTTTACATGATTAAAATATAGGAAGATAAAACAGAATCAGAGAAAGTAGAAGAAAAAAAAATGCAGAAATAAGAAAGAAAATTAAAAGCAGTTGGACTAAAGAAAATAAAAAAAAATGAACTAATGATGTTTCAGTTGAACTTTTTAACATTTTGCCGAGCATCCTTCAATAAGATCATAATAGAACTTAATGTGTCTAAAAGACCTAGTAAATAATTTATTTTATGACAAATCGACGACAAAAATGGGACCAAATCAGGAACTAAAACAACGGGATTGGCTGTAAGGAGAGCTGAGACGGAGGAAAATCCGAGTTTACTAAACATAACCTGCTACTGGCCAGGTTAGCTCTGGGGAGAATGTTACCATGGCAACAGAAACGGAAAACTCAGTTTCTCTTATTTCAGGTTTAGAAAAGTTGGAGTTTTCAGAAAACCTGCTTCATGAAACGGACCCCTGGTGTTGAAAACTCCTCTCTTAGTGGCAATAAAGATTAATGTGAGATACGGAGGAAATATTTCTTCCTCCGTCTGGTGATCCTGTTTGATCTGTCTGGAACATGAAAGGAATAGTACACCCAAAACATGATTAGCCTTCATTTTCTACTCACCCCCATGCTGAACAACACTCTGGAGTACTTTTTTGATATCTCAAATGCATCTGGAGATCTGGGAGGCTTCTTGCTGTCTGCTGACATTCAAATAATGGAGGTCTATGGCGCCCGAGGCAGAAAGGTCCATAAAAGTCCACAAAAAACGTGTCAATATTCCTCCATACTGCTCGTCCAATGTATTCCAAGTGTCCTGAGTGGGTAGCGTCCAGAATTTACTCGAAACGAAGTCATTTAAAATGTTTTTAGAGCATAAACAGTAGTGTATAGGATTTCCTAAAAGCGCGTTCACGAGTCTACGGAAACAGCGGCAGACCAAACCCGACGAAAGTGCGCATTCAGCTCGGCAAAGAACTCATGCTCTTCCTCAACACTGAAGTCCTCAGACATTTTTCTTTCGTTGTTTCTTTCTTTGCACAGGTAAACAGCACATTTCTTCTTGTACGCTTGCATTATCGGCAGAGCAGACACTGAAAGCGCACTTTCATCTGGTTTGGTCTGCCGGCTTCCGTAGCGTCATGAACGTGCAGGCGCGCGCTTTCAGGAAATCCTATACACTACTGTTTATGCTCTAAAAACATTCTAAATGACTTCGTTTCGAGTAAATTCTGGACGCTACCCACTCAGGACACTTGGAATACATTGGACGAGCAGTATGGAGGAATATTGACACGTTTTTTGTGGACTTTTATGGACCTTTCTGCCTCGGGCGCCATAGACCTCCATTATTTGAATGTCAGCAGACAGCAAGAAGCCTCCCAGATCTCCAGATGCATTTGAGATATCAAAAAAGTACTCCAAAGTGTTGTTCAGCATGGGGGTGAGTAGAAAATGAAGGGTAATCATGTTTTGGGTGTACTATTCCTTTAATATCCTGAGCAGCTGCATCCCACGTTGGACTGAAACGCTTCCCTAATCCTGTTTCTTTGTCTCTAACTGGACTAAATCATTAAAAAAGCCAGCATGTTCTGTAATATGACATCTAGTTTTCATTCTCAATGTACCTAAACTGTCCATTCCAGAAATTTGGCAGTAATCAGTCCAAGCCCGAGTTCACGGTTGATCTGCGCGGCGCCTCGGTGGAGTGGGCTTCCAAGGAGAAGTCCAGCAAGAAACACGTCATCGAGGTATCGATTGCAAGCGCCGCTGCTTTTTTCTCGTTTGTGTTTGTAAGCCGTTTGACCTAAGATGGTTTTTCCACCTTTCAGCTGAAGACCCGTCAGGGGACAGAGCTGCTGATCCAGTCTGAGATCGACAGCGTCATCAATGACTGGTACCGGGCCCTAACCGAGACCATCAACACTCATGTGAGTACCTTTCTATATCCGAGTCCACCTTTCAGTCCGAGCTGACACCCGTTTTGGTAAAACCCAATGTCTCTGGTGGTCCAGGCTTGGGAGTCCGATGAAGCCATTGAAGAAGACATGCCAGAGTCTCCGGGGGCAGAGAAACAGGACAAAGAGAAGGACCATCGGGACTCCAAGAAACACAGAAGTGAGTCCATCTGAGCTGTTAGCTTACGTCCCACCGGTCAAATGAGTTTAATTGGCCCGTTTTTCCATAATCAGCCATATTGTCCAGATAAAAAGCTGATCATTACCTCCCTTGTTCCTCTTACCGCCCCCCTGTGTGCCATTAGTGATGAAGAACTCTGTGAGCATGGACTCATCGGACCAGAAGAAGACCAGGATGAAGCTCAAGAAGTTCCTCATAAGGCGTCCAACTTATCAGGCTGTCAGAGACAAAGGATACATCAAAGGTGAGCCGGAACGGATCCTCAGAACCTCGTAACGCCGTGCAGTCCTCCGCCATGCCGCTATAAGCTAGTGTCCTTCTGTCCACAGACCAGGTGTTTGGCTGCAGTCTGAGCAGTCTGTGTCAGCGGGAGAACACGTCCGTGCCCAACTTTGTCAAGATGTGCATCGACCACGTGGAGAACACAGGTACAGACACCTCAGTTGAATTCATCTGAAGTTCCTCCTGATGTGTTTAGACTACATCTAGAGAGGAACATCTATCTCTACGATCAGTTGGAACGTATTCTAAGCAGGATGTAAGCTAACTGTGTAGGAAACCAGATTATCTCTTTAGTTTCTATAAGGAGATCTTGTTGACTTTAGCTGAACGCTACAGCCATTAGAAAACAACCCATCCTGTTGTGTTTAAGACTTTAATTGCCAAACTATTTTATTCTCTTACAGGCTTTATATCTTAGACTTAGACAGACTTTATTGTCATTTTGTTCACAGAGGGTGTATACAAAAAGAAATTTTGTTCAGTACAGCGGTGCAGCAGTGATAAAAAGTAAACATGGTGATCAAATCTAAACATAGACTATATGAGTTACAGTTTTCAACTTTCAGTGCTTTTTGGAGAACAAGGAAATAAAGGCACAGAGTCAGAATTCTTTTTACTCGCGAGGAGAGTAGGAAAAGACCGTGCAGGTACATCTCCACCCCACTCTGCCGGTCTTCAGCTTTCTCCTCGCTATTTATTAAAGTCAGAGGGGGAGTCCCTAGTTACACAAGCTGAGGTTGCGCTTAAGGTATAGGAAACAAGAAATACAATTCAATTTGCAGCCTCAATGAACAGGTAAATTTGTCTTTAAATGTCTTGCGGTCAAATGGTCCAAGAACCTCCTGGCTTCGTTAAGCTTGAGCAATACTATTTGTGCAACACCTCTCTGGAACAGTAATATGTCACACATTATACATCATAAGAACAAACATTAAGTATCTTATGCATAATTATTCCAACAAAGCTGTTTAGGAATCTGCTGGTCCTGAATTGAATGATTCGAAATCTAGAAGTTAAACCTTGAATTAGCTGCTTTAAAACCTAAAGATTAAGCTGGCCTGCATACATCCACATTTCCTTATCTCTGTTTCTTATTCTCCGCTTTGGAAAACATCCATTTAGTTGATGCTTATTTTTATATAAAACTGGACTCTGCAGCTCTAGTATGACACCTAGTGGTTTTTTGAGGGAACTGAATCTGTAGATTGGAACTCCTTAGAAGAAAATGCACTGATAAACACAGTGAGTCAGCGCTGCAGTGCAAATTCATGTTTGCTGTTTCTGAAAAGTTAAGAGCAAAAAGATGCTCCCAGTCTATTTTCCTTTAAGGTTTCCCAGACATTCCTGCCTGTAACCTCAAAATAACAATGCCACAGTCTGGAGACACATTGTATATTAATATTTTAATAATATTAGATTATTTGATTGATCATTTTAAATTTATTTTTAATTATTTATTTGGATAATTAGTTATTTAATTGCACATTTTACACTTTAATGGCATACTTTATATTTCAGTCATCAAAGAATAACCAATGGATCATTATCTATACCTAAAAACTAATACGTCCGCAGCGATTTAATGAATTTAGCATTAATTAGTAAAAAAAAATAAATAATATTTTTCGTTGGGATCACTGAGTTTGGGAGCGGCCATTTTTCCCCAAATATAGTAACCCCTCCCTCCTGCCATCTTCCGGCAGTGACGTCACGGTGCGGTAAGCCTAGCGCCATTCTCCCCGCTTTACAAGCTAAATTAATGGGAACTACTAGACACATCTGCAATCAACAACAATTATTGAAGATTTCCAGAGGACTTCACCATTGAAATTCACCAGAGCTATAGTGAAACTGACAATGCCCACGTGCATGGCAGCTGGATGCTGGAATACATCGGGTAAAAGTGAAAAAAAGAGTTATTCCACCTTTCTGATTCCTGATCCTCCACGGACGGGTTGGTCGTTGGATCGCCAACTTGAAGAGGGAGGATTTGCCATCGAACTTCTGGCCAGAGAAAAAACCCGTAATATGTAGCCAACATTTGGAAGAAGAATGTTTTCAAGATGACTTGGATAATAGCGCGTTGTGACAAACACCAGATACAGCACTGGGACTTGATCAACAGCCGATACCGCACCATGACGTCACAAACCAGTAGGTGGCAGTAGTGTTCTTTGACAAACATGGATGCCTCCAGTAAAGCACATTCACATGGAAATTACTCTTTATTAAAAACACTGATCATTTATTGAACAGGATGGAATAATTTAATATTTAAAGAACTTTCATAAGTTTGAATTCTGAATATAAGTTAACTTTTCCTTTAAAGAAGGAATAAATGTTAGCTATTGCTTAGTAATACTAACCTTTTGGTTTGCAAACATTTAAATGTCCAGAAGGAAAAGGGGGGAAACCTCTGCATGGCTTCTCCCCTTTGCTTCCCTAAGCTTCACAGTTGCATCTCTATGGAAGCAAATCGTTACCATATTTAAAATGAAAAAAGCATTTCCAGAAATGCTTTTTCATTTTTAGAATGTGGCTGCATTGTTTGGCTCATAAATTAAATTAGTGATCAATAATCCTCTTTGCATTTTCATTTTCTTCTTCAACACCGCTCATCCTTTTACTTAATTAAAATAAAGAAGAAAAAGACGTATGAGATTTATTTTTCAAAATGTACGCCAGCAAATATATACCAAAATTCAATTTGAAATGTAAAATTTGAAAATGAAAAAGCATTTCCAGAAATGCCTGTTTCATCTTAGAAATATGGCTGCATTGTTTGACTCATAAATAAAATTAGTAATCAATCATCCTAGTGAGCAAGGACTTGAAGAGGAGCTGCTGCTGACGTTTCTGGAAATGCTTTTTCATTTTAAATATGGTAACAATTTGCTTCCATACATCTCCAGTAAGACACAGAGCAGACTGGACTTCCTGAGGAAGCTCAGGTCCTTTAATGTTTGCAGGAAGATTTTGCATATCTTCTACTTTAAAATAAAAAAATGATCTCTGTGTATTTCTTTAATGAAAACCTTCCAGCTTTCCACCTTTGCTTGAAAGGATTAAAAATACTCACCATCAGAACGCTCTGGGCTGAAAGTAGCAACATGTTGATGTCCCTCTAACTGAGCAGTGATAAATTCGCTGCTATTTAAGAAACGGAATAATCAGCAGATCGGTTTCTGAGTAGGTTCAGCTCCACTCTGACTTGTTGCCCCACCTCCACCTCTGCAGGTCTCAGTGTGGACGGCCTCTACAGAGTGAGTGGGAACCTGGCGGTGATCCAGAAGCTCCGCTTCGCCGTGAATCACGGTAAGGCTGGCCGACCCTCCGCTAGCTGGATCACGCCTTGCCTGCGATCAGAGGTTGAATATTGATCGTCTCCTCCCTGTGTCAGATGAGAAGGTGGACCTGAACGACAGCAAGTGGGAGGACATCCACGTCACCACCGGAGCTCTGAAGATGTTCTTCAGGGAGCTTCCTGAGCCGCTCTTCACGTACGGATCCTTCGGTGACTTTGTCAACGCCATCAGTGAGTGTTTGATGTTAAATAGCAGCAACGCACACAGAGTCCTCACTACAATCACACAGACAGGAGGGAAACTGATCTACAGAGTCAGAGCTTTATAGAGCATCTAATTCATTTATAGCCTTCTGCAACAGTAAATATTTATTAAAATGATTGTATTTGCCTTTAATCTGAGGAGCTAAATACGATGATCTGTGTATTTCTGCTCTTTAATTAAACTAATTTGATGTTATGCACCTGAAATAAGATGATACATCCATTTTTTTTGTTTAAAATTTTTATTTTCTATCTTATTCCAACAGTAAAATGTTTTACTTACCTGCATAAATCAAGAGAAACTATCTTTAGCAATTAACATCATGTATCTTTTAGATTCTACATTTATTTCTAAATCTTGAACTTATATCTAACTTACATCAAGTCCCCGGATGTTGTTCTCGCCCCTCCCTATTTACCCAGCATGCATCAGAGCAGACTTGCCCGTTGTTTAGATTGACAGCTGTCCCAGCATGCAAAATAAATTTCCGAAATTCAAAGGATCGCAGAAACCAGTGGAGCTCCGAGGCTAACGGCAGCCAGGGCTAATGTTAAAAGTCCATCAGTTAGTTTAGTACCACATTACCCATGATGCATCTGTTCATTTCGTAGTTCTCATTCCACGTAGCTGAACAAGTTGTGTTTTCCACGCTTCTGGGTGGTTCGGTGGCACAAAATAGCATCCACCATTAATCCTTTCATCCAGTGTGTATGAAACCTGTGTGCGTTCTTTACCATATAACCACACATCCATATACATATTTCTAAAAAACCAAATATAAACCTCATTATCTGTACCATCATCTCCAATGTACCTGCTTCTATTCCATTAATAAACCTTCTGAGCTGCACCAGTGGAGCTAACGCTACTACAGCTAACGTTAGCTCGTCTGCAGCAGCCCTCTCTCTCTGCGTAGCCGTGTGTGAAGGACCGCTGGCTCTGATGGGGAATGTAAATGTAAAAAAGTAAGAATTTATTATTATCTAGAGACTATTGACAGGAGGTGAAATGCAGCTCCAGACGAGCCAAACGTGTGATGACGTCACGAGTGCAATTCTGTTCCAACTGACCCATATTTATGCTAGATGCTACCGTTCTCCCAGAGTCCAGACTTTCCTGTGTTCTTCTCAAGAACACGGTTGGTGAGGACACGAGTCTGTACTCGCGTTCTTGTGAATTGAGAAGCGGCCTATATTAGAGGCTGCTGTCCTGCTGTTGCCATGGTTAATCAACATATCTGTATTCCATTAATTAGGGCTTCTTATTTTTTCGTACTAAACTCAAATATTTATTGTTGCTAAGTTTAGTTACCTGATTGAAATCGGCTGTTCTGAGCCAACATTTGAGAGTAAAGAAAAGAGGGTGGAACCACTCAGAGGCCGTTTCTCAATTCACGAGAACGCGAGTACGTACTTGCGTTCTCGTCAAGTCCGTTCTTGGCGAGAACGCAGGAAGATCGGACTTGAAGACGTCATCACATGCAACGTTCTTTAGCATTTCTTTAACAGTCAAAACTATTTATTCCCTACACAAAACATTTTGAAAACAATATTTTTAATTTCTAAAGCTTAAAAAACATAAAAAAAAATTACCGAACCGTGGGTATAAAACCAGCAATGGCGGGAATTTCTTTGTTGGGAGTTGTCAGAACGAGCGGTAGTTCACACATAACTAGACCGAGAGAAGTGCACTACAGTCGGGGTAACATTAGCCCTGGCTGCGGTTACCCTCGGAGGTCTTCTGGTCACTCTGGTACGCTCAACGTCGGACTTTTTTTTTTTTTTATTTCGCACTAACTCTGTAAACAGGCCACACAGGGAGGCTTCAATGTATAATGTTATCGCCTCAAACGATTTCAAAACGTACTTTTGAAGAACAACAGCAGCAGAAAAGGGAATGTTTAACTTACCACTGTGAGCGCTGTCTGGAATCAAGCTGCGGCCGCGGGGCATTCTGGGGAAGCGGTCAGTCTGAAGAACGCACAAGTCTGCTCTGATGCATGCTCGATAAAGAGGGCTGGGTGAGAACAACATCCGGGGATTTGATGCGTTCTCGATCTGGCGTTCTCGAGAATTGGAACGGTACTCGGGCTGAGGCTGATGACGTGTCACGAGCACACGAGAACGCTCAAGAACGCATATTGAGAAACGGCCAGAGTATGTGCTACGTACTTGGGGTAGGACAGCCATTTTTTATGGCACGGGGCCCAGGTTAAAGGGCTGGTTATTCTCACGCAGCAGTGTGTCGCAGTGAGCGTTAGAGACTGACATGGGAGTGGATTTTCACTCCTGTCCCGTCCCACTCCCACAGAAAAAAATTGTGTCCCGTCCCGATCCCGGGCCAGAGTAGAAATCTAAATCCTGACCCGTCCCACTCCTGGTGAAATTACTCCCACTCCCATTCTTGGTCCCTCCATTGTTGTTTTTGAGCACGGGTGAAAAACTCAGAGCCGAAGCACTGTTGGTTTTTGGGTCATGTAGTTCTTTTGACTCGCATTATAGTGTAGGCTTCAAGGAAAAAAACTACAAAATGGCGGCGCCAGTACTGGATTTTTTTTCTTTCCATTTTATTTTATTTTTGGGCATCGATCCTAGTTTTTTTTAGTTACTATTGGTTTGCTCCTGCTCCCATCTGCTCCCGTTAATGTTTAATCCTGTACCGTCCCAATCACGTGATCGTTACTAATACTGACTCCAATCCCACAGGAATCCCACGGGAATCCCGTGACCCGTGGGATTCCCGAAAAAATGTCAGTCTCTAGTGAGCGTGTTGCAGGCATGATGCAGATGTGTTTGATTTATGCCCAATATTGAAGCGTGGTCTGCGCTGTCGTTCCACGACACAGCGCCAGAGGGCCAATCAGGAACTAGCTGTGGGTCTAGACACGGCCAAAGCGGTGAGGAAGTGGGGGCAAGTTTGTCCGACAACGGAGGAACATGAGGACCAAAAAGAGCGGGGAACCAGGTGGAAAAAGGTGCCAGCGTTCTCACGCACCTCGCTCTTCTATCTGGTCCATCTTCATGAGTCGTTTTCCACAATGGCGGCCATACGAACAAAATAGGCCGGTAAGGAACCAAACAGGAAATACGCATAGAGTGGAGCAGATGTAGATTTGACCAATCAGAGGCTTCCTGTCGGCGGACACCTACAATTTTGGAGAGGTGCAGCAGAGTGTCTGCAACTGGGGCGGGGGCACATTTGCATTCATTGCGACACACACACAGACAACCTGGTTTCTGAGTATAAATCAGCCTTAAGTAAACATAATTAAAGTGAAAAAAGGCCTTTTTTAACTTTCTGGACTTGAATTTTCCATGTCTGCCCACCAGAGGGCGCTGTTGACTCATTTCCTCTCTTGTGATTTTCCTCAGAATGCTCCGACTACAAGCAGCGACTGAATTCAGTCAAAGACTTGATCAAGAAGCTGCCGAAACCCAATCATGACACAATGCAGGCTCTGTTCAAACACCTGCGCAGGTAAGACGCCGCCAACGCCATCACCTCTGATGTCTAAAATAAACACGGAGCGGTGGGTTGTTTCCATCTGCAGGTTCTGATCCATTCTTAGCCACCAGCTACATCCTACGTTCACAATGACATTTGCTTAGCGCTGATTTGCATTTACATGGCGCCGCCTTTGCTGTAATTCAGCTCCTATGAAGCGGTGAAATTTATAGCGTGACATTCAGGCGGATTTAATCAGCTTTTTTCTTCCATGATTATGTTATTAGGGGGGCCACATGCCGAAGGCATGGCCCACCTATTACTATTGCACATATTTATTCCGCGTATTATTATTATAGCTTATAGTTCTCCTCGTCCCCTAAAAACTTCGGCGTGTAACTAGTCACGCACCATTCGTCGGATCGGGCCCAAAGTTGGCACACGCGTCGGGACCAATGGGGTGATGTGTGCTTGTATAAAACTTTCTCATTAGTCCGAAGGTTCGCCAATTATTAGCGAAAACGTCGCAAAAAAATCCCATAGGAAATGAATGGGGAGAGGTAAAAAAAAGCATAAAAAACAGCGCTTCACTGTGTCGGCATAAATTCACGTAGAAAAACAGTTTAAAGCTCAGTTTGTAGATAAATCCGTCATCTATCTAAAACTGAAGACGGTATGTTGATAACTGCTACGGTTTTTGTATAATCAGACCTCAAGCGCCACAAAGTTTTAGCAAAATCCACCCTTCTAGAGTGGAGAGACTGAAAAGCTAGAGTGTGAGGCAGCCGTTTTTTTAAGACCAAAAAACATTTTAAACTCGCCCTCACGGCCACATATTTATAGCTAGAGTCACCATTTTTGGTCAGTTTGTAGACTGAAATCTCTGGACCCACACAATGTCTTCGGAATTACGGTAGGATTAATACTTTTCCTTAAAAACCCTCCAGACCGACCTCAAGTCGATGAAAATCAGAGCCGTTTTTCATTGGTTTTGGAACAGCAGAGGGGAGAAAAACGAATGACATTATGTGTTTTAAACTCGTCATAAATATTGTTCTGAAAGACACACATACACCAAAGTTGGCATAGTTGGAGTCGAAGGATGGCTGACGCTCACGGTGAAAGAATTTTTTGAATAACTCATACGGTTTTTGCTCAGCAGTCGTTTGTTCGGAGGACATTTTAAGCACCAGAAAGCTGGGTGACAGTGTCCTGCTGCAGCTAGCTCAATTAGAAGCTCAGGTGTGAGGAAACGTTTTTTTTTTTCTTTCTCTTCCCATTCAGGTTGTAGATGACCTACAGCCATGAAAGTTACTCTAATTGAAGTAAAGATATAGCTGTAGCTTAGATAAAAATAATTTTTCAGATATCATTTATGGTTTTTACTCAGCAGTCATTTGTTCGGAGGGGGGCTTTAGCAGCTTAAAGGTGAGTGAAAGTGTGTTGCTGCAGCTAGCTCAGTTAGAAGCTAAGGACTGAGGACCCGTTTTTCTTATTCTTTCTCTTCCCATTCAGGTTGTAGATGACCTACAGCCATGAAAGTTACTCCAATTGAAGACAAGATATAGCTTTAGCTTAGATAAAAATAATTTTTCAGATACCTTTTACGGTTTTTACTCAGCAGTCGTTTGTTCGGAGGGGTGCTATAGCAGCTTAAAGATGACAGAGTGTGGTGCTGCAGTTTAAACAAAGGGAGGAGCAGGTGGGATCAGCCATTTTGTTTGTGCTTCGTTTTGGGTTGTGAAAGACCTACAGACATGAAGGTTACCCCAGTCTGAGACAAAGGATAGATGTTTCTTTCACTGAAAGAATTTTTCTAATACCTTTTACGGTTTTTGCTCAGCAGTCGTTTGTTCGGAGGGGTGCTATAGCAGCTTAAAGGTGACAGAGTGTGGTGCTGCAGTTTAAACAAAGGGAGGAGCAGGTGGGATCAGCCATTTTGTTTGTGCTTCGTTTTGGGTTGTGAAAGACCTACAGACATGAAGGTTACTCTAATTGAAGTAAAGATATAGCTGTAGCTTAGATAAAAATAATTTTTCAGATATCATTTATGGTTTTTACTCAGCAGTCCTTTGTTCGGAGGGGGGCTTTAGCAGCTTAAAGGTGAGTGAGAGTGTGTTGCTGCAGCTAGCTCAGTTAGAAGCTAAGGACTGAGGAACCGTTTTTTCTTATTCTTTCTCTTCCCATTCAGGTTGTAGATGACCTACAGCCATGAAAGTTACTCCAATTGAAGACAAGATATAGCTTTAGCTTAGATAAAAATAATTTTTCAGATACCTTTTACGGTTTTTACTCAGCTGTCGTTTGTTCGGAGGGGTGCTATAGCAGCTTAAAGGTGACAGAGTGTGGTGCTGCAGTTTAAACAAAGGGAGGAGCAGGTGGGATCAGCCATTTTGTTTGTGCTTCGTTTTGGGTTGTGAAAGACCTACAGACATGAAGGTTACCCCAGTCTGAGACAAAGGATAGATGTTGCTTTCACTGAAAGAATTTTTCTAATACCTATTACGGTTTTTGCTCAGCAGTCGTTTGTTCAGCAGCTGTTCCTCCCATTCAAAAAAGCCTGAGAGCTAAGGAACGATAGTGCTGCGCTTTTCTCTCTGTCACTGACAGGCTCGTTAAGCGTTGTCAAGGTAACCGTGCTTCAAACAGATTTTACCTCTGCTGTTTTAAACAGCACATATTAATCCAATGGAGGGTGAAAGCACTGATTTAACATTGGAAAATGGACACTATATGACTGCTGTCCATGACACTTCCCTTGCCACTCAACACTGATAGACTTTCAAAATAAGACTCCAGGGACCCTACAAAATAAAAGCCTCTATATTTTTTACATATATTTATTGCCCTATATGGCTCAACATTATGACCCAAACTCAACCCCATTTTAGAGAATAGACTCTAGGAGACTGTTTAAAACACACCCTATGGCAAATTTCAAAATAAAAGCCTCCCATTTCCGCTTCATCTACTGCCCTAATAACATGGAAAAAGAGTGATTTAACGATTGGAAAGTCATCAACTATGATTGCTGGGTCTGAACATTTTCTCTAAACACAACTCTGTTGGACTTTCAAAATAAGACTCCAGGGACCCTACAAAATAAAAGCCTCTAGATTATACTAATGCAATAATTGATGCAAATGGCTCAACATTATGACCCAAACTCTTCCAGGTTGTTTTTATTAGACTCTAGTGACCTTTTCAAAACACACCCCAGAGCAAATTTCACAAGAAAAGTCTCCCATTTACTCTGTAATACAGCAGCTATTCACCTAATAACATGGAAAACCAGTGATTTAACATTTGGAAATGGATTCTATATCACTGCTGGGCATGACCCCTCTTTTGATGCACATCCATGATAGACTTTCAAAATAAGACTACAGGGACTCTACAGAATAAAAGCCTCTTCCTTATACACACTCATACATTCTGGCATATTGCTCATAGCCATTTGTAATTTCATCATTGCAGTGGCTCTTAGAAGGCGGGTGAAGCCCGCCATTGGTGATTTCATCACTGCAATGGCTCTTAGCAGGCGGGCGGAGCCCGCCATTAGTGATTTTTTTCATCGCTGCAAGGGCTCCAAGCGGGCGGGCGGAGCCCGCCAACTGCGCTTTACCCACTGCGGTTCAATATGGACAACCCATATTACCCTTGTGCATCATATGCTGTGCACGTCTATTTCCCAGATTTCAGCACAAGTGGCACACAGCTCTCTTTGCCCATGACCTAGCCCTCTTTCCGTCCCTCAGCAGCCCTCAAAGGCGTAAGCAGTTGGTCTGGGGAGCCCCGACATCACTTGCCAGGGCCGTATTGGCCCAGTTACCCAGACGGGCAGTAGGTGGCCCCCCTCAAAATTTCTTTAGAAATTTTCTAGTTGTTTTTGTGCCGCTCCATGCAAGGATGTAGATTCTATTTAAAAAGGTTATTATGCTTGAGCCCGGAGCGTCGCAGCGTGCGTTTGTCTCCACGCTCCATCTGAAGCCCTGAAGCTGTTGCTGAATGTCGTCGTTCTCCACATAACGGCTTTAAATCTGCCACACCAAAGCACGCTCACCTGAAGCCATTTTTAAATGTAATCTCTAAGATCTGCCTCTGATTCTCTCCCCACGCACGCATACAGAGTGATAGAGCACGGAGAGGCCAACCGCATGACCACCCAGAGCGTCGCCATCGTGTTCGGACCCACGCTGCTGCGGCCGGAGACGGAGACGGGCAACATCGCCGTCCACATGGTCTACCAGAGCCAGATCGTGGAGCTGATCCTACTGGAGTATGAGAGCGTGTTCGGGAGGTAGAAGAGGAGGAGCCTTCCTCTGGGTTCCCCCAAACTCAGACTCTCTTCTTCCTCTCTTCCGTTTGTTTGCTGCGGAGCGAGCAGTCGGGAGGAATAAAAGAATAAATAAATAAAATGAACCGTTTAAAAAAGTGTTGCACTTACAAGGAATTTGGGGATGAGTTCAGGAAATAAAATTAGATGTATAGACGTTGCCCCCCCCTTCTTTTTTTTTTGTTTTCCAGTTGCCATTCCTGCTGCGAGTAGCGGGCCGATGACGGACATGCTTTCAGAATGTTGCCGTGGTGATGTGCGGACGTCTGTGTGAGTTGGTGAATGTTGAGCGTTTACACATACACTGGATCTTTGTGGCCAGTCATTGAAAGCGGAACCAGCTGCTCCTTTTTAACTCCTGGTGGGATCGGATCAGGGACAAACGGAGTTTTTTGTTTTTTTGCCTCTCTGGACTCGGGTCCATTCTGTCTGATGGTTCAGATCAGTTTCCTGTTTTTAACAGTGTTAGCCATGAACTCACTTGAACGTTGTCGGACTTCTCCTCCTGGACTAACTGGACGGCCAGATCGCGGATCTCCTCCGTTATTAAGCTAATAATAAAGAGCGTTCAGAGGCGGATGCTGAACGGATGTGTTAAAAAAAGAGCCTTTCAACACATTTCAGAGGATTTGTACAGAATGTAATTGTAAAAAAAAAAAAAAAGACAACAAAAAACTGTGTTTCTGTGTCTGAGGTGTGTGTGCTTTGATGGTGAAACTGGTGAAAGATTGTGCATTTAAACATTAAAACGCGCTGATGAGCTGGTTCGTTGCAGGTGTATGTGAGGTGTTGGCGCATGGTCAGCTGCACATTTTGAATGTACTTTTCTGGCTAACTGCTGTTTGTGAATCGCTATGTCTAATAAAAGAGACAAACTAATCAAGTCTAGTTATTTAAAATCCACAAAACCCTGTAAAAACAGCAGAGGAGCACAGAGAAGGAGACTTGAGACCAAAACAATTTTCTATCACATAATCTCTACATGGTTTAAGTCTGACACGACTCCGATTCATTAGGAAATGTGCTAGATCTGACTTATTACCTGAATTAGCTCTGACTTGTTAGCATCCGTATTAGCTCTGACTTGTTAGCATCCGTATTAGCTCTGACTTGTTAACACCCGTATTAGCTCTGACTTGTTAGCACCCTTATGAGCTCTGGCTTGTTAGCATCCGTATTAGCTCTGACTTGTTAGCATCCGTATTAGCTCTGACTTGTTAGCATCCGTATTAGCTCTGACTTGTTAACACCCGTATTAGCTCTGACTTGTTAGCATCCGTATTAGCTCTGACTTGTTAACACCCGTATTAGCTCTGACTTGTTAGCACCCTTATGAGCTCTGGCTTGTTAGCACCTGAATTTGCTCTGATTTGTTAGCACCTGACTTAGCACTGACTTGTTAGCATCCGTATTAGCTCTGACTTGTTAGCACCTGAATTTGCTCTGACTCGTTACCGCCTGAATTAGCTTTTCCTTGTTAGCAGCTGAATTAGCTCTGACTTGTTAGCACCTGAATTGGCTTAGACTAGTTAGCACCTGAATTGGCTCTGACTCGTTAGCAGCTGAATTAGCTTTTCCTTGTTAGCAGCTGAATTAGCTCTGACTTGTTAGCAGCTGAATTGGCTCTGACTTGTTAGCAGCTGGATTAGATTTAATGAATAAGGATCTGATTTAGCCATAACTTGTTAGCACATGAATTAGCTCTGACTCGTTACCACCTGAATTGGCTCTGACTCGTTACCACCTGAATTAGCTCTGACTTGTTAGCACCTCAATTAGTTCTGACTTGTTAGCACATGAATTAGCTCTGACTTGTTAGCAGCTGGATTAGATGTAATGAGTAAGGACCTGATTTGGCCATAACTTGTTAGCACATGAATTAGCTCTGACTCGTTACCACCTGAATTAGCTCTGACTTGTTAGCACCTCAATTAGTTCTGACTTGTTAGCAGCTGAATTAGATCTGACATGTTAGCACCTAAAATAGGTCTTAGCAGCTGGATTAGATGTAATGAGTAAGGACATGATTTAGCCATAACGTGTTAGCACATGAATTAGCTCTGACTTGTTAGCACCTCAATTAGTTCTGACTTGTTAGCACATGAATTAGCTCTGACTTGTTAGCACCTCAATTAGTTCTGACTTGTTAGCACCTGATTTTTCTCTTGCTCTAGCCCATATCCAGCTTCTGATTATACTGGTTATTTCTTTTTACCCAGTTAGCGCCAAGAAATGTTTACCAGTTCCAGAGGTTGTGGTGCTGGAAAGATTTTTTAAAAAGTACCAGTTTAGCAACGATTTATGAAAGAAAAATTCCCAGAGTTGTCTGTTTTAGGGATTTTTGACATATTTAAAAATGTATCAGAGAAAATCCATTATCTTTCATTCAGGCTGCAGCAGAGTGAGAAAGAGCACATTTTTGCGCATATTTGCACATTTATGTTCTCTAGAATAAACGCTCTGGGTTCGATTCCCAGCCTTTTTGCATGGAGTTTGCATGTTCTCCCTGTGTATATATGGGTTCTCTCCGGGTATTCCGGCTTCCTCCCACAGTCCATGTTTGGCTCATTGGCGTCTCTAAATTGTCCCTAGGTGTCAATGTGTGTTTGAATGGTTGCATTTCTGTCTCTTTGTTGCCCTGCAATGGATTGGCAACCTGTCCAGGATGCAACCTCGATGGAATACATTGGAGAAGATGGATGGATGAACGCTCTGTTGCTTTAATAATGCTAGCTACAGTTACTAAAGTCATCACTAATACTAGATAAAAAAACTAGCTTTAATATCATATGAACTCTCTTTGGTGCAATTAATAAAGGATTTTTGAGTTAGTTTTACATCCTATGTTGTTGTTTATTAAAATAAATTGGAACTCTATCAGATCCTTTAAATAATCTACCAATCAGAAATCGGCTGCATCTCTGTTTAGATGAATGCAGGAAAGAGAAGGTGGAACCCCGTTTAACCTTCAATCACTTCTATAGCTTCCTCTATTCTGCTTTAATTATATAATTGAAATGATCCACTCAGTACACAGATCCTGCTTATTGAATTACTCGATTAAACGTTCACATCTTAATGAATTACTTCCCCTACCTGTTAATTATGAAATGAACTGCACTTTATTTCTGGAGTTTTCCTGAGCAGCATGCTGACCTCTGAACCCCTGGACTCCCATCAATCTGCCACGGCTGTTAGACGCCCAGGCTCCGCAGGTCAAACACGGCCGCGGGCCTGAAGGCTGTGGATTAATTGATGTCTAATTAGGTAAGTGCCACAGTGCCAGTTTTGATTAAGAAGCAGGAGGCGAAGTGTTGTGCTGAGCGAAGCTGCTCGCTTGGAGCCAAATGCTGCTGTTTGTGTTTTCCTGTCGCTCTGCCACTAAAGGAGGCTTTGAAAATAAAATAACAGAAAGCTTTGGGGCTGATTGTGGAATAACATGACTACGTGTAAAACAATAGAGATAATTTAACTATTTCCTTTAGAAATATGTTTGTGTTTATGTTGTTTTCATTTATTAACATTCTCCTTTGATTATAAATATATACAAATAATGTATGGGTGGGTTAAACTTCTATATGTATTGGTAGTTTATATCTTGTTCTACCACTAGGGGGAGCTAAAGTCTAAACAGAAGTAAGGTTTCTCTTTTACAAACTTGTTTTTTTTTTTTTTTTTTGTCTAACATCCAAATACATTTAAATTACTTTCATTGTATGATTTATAAAAGAGTGAATAGTTGATTAAACAGCTGCCTTTTACTGATTTATGATTTCAACAGAAATCCTGTTGGAGAAAAATCTCACATTGGTTTTTAAATGATTATGATTTTATAAAGAGGTCAACTTTTTTTTCTCTGCGTTCGTTGTCAAAGTTGAACTCCAGGATGGTCAAAGAACAGCCGCTGTTATCTGTGGATCCTCGGCAATTAGATCACACCTTTATAAAGCCAAACTATCTCCAACAAACTGCCAATGCTGTTAAAACGAGGAAAAAACCTGCTGAAGAATTTAAATGGAGTCAAAAATAAAGCATTGCATCAACCTGAGTAAAACGAAACAGTTCATAGACTGAATAAAAGCAAAGGGTTTTATTTTCGCTTCCCATCCAGGAAGCTTTTTCAATTCAATTAATGTCATTAAATAAAAACAAACAGGGTGCTGCTCTGTAATGGTGTTAAGCCTATTTAAGACTTTCCAGGTAGCAAGTTTTACATTTAAATACTAAACCAGTCAAGTTTCTATGATCGAAAAAATTGCCTTAAAATGGATTCCAAAGAAAAAGATAAAAAAAAAAAACAATCCAAGTTGTTGTTTCCAAGCTTTTTCAGTTCAAAATGTCAGAAATGGTGTTGTTATATTATAAACCCAGCTGTAAATGAATGTGTGTCTACAGCAGAGACCAGAAGTGACAGCAGGTGGCGTTAGCAGGCAGTAACCAGACCGTCTGACAGTGGCCTCGTTTGGAACCAGTACCCCCAGTTCATCCAAGATCAATGATTGGCTTTGAATCTATTGCTTGCTCTACTACAGCGAAATCCCCTCCAACATCCAGCCACTGGAGTGACCCCCAACTGCTTATGTTTTTACTCTGACTCCACCCTGTCACTGAATTACAGGGTCTGACCAGGAGATGGTGCTTCTCTTTAGATCTTAAAGGAATAGTACACCCAAAACATGATTAGCCTTCATTTTCTACTCACCCCCATGCTGAACAACACTCTGGAGTACTTTTTTGATATCTCAAATGCATCTGGAGATCTGGGAGGCTTCTTGCTGTCTGCTGACATTCAAATAATGGAGGTCTATGGCGCCCGAGGCAGAAAGGTCCATAAAAGTCCACAAAAAACGTGTCAATATTCCTCCATACTGCTCGTCCAATGTATTCCAAGTGTCCTGAGTGGGTAGCATCCAGAATTTACTCGAAACGAAGTCATTTAGAATGTTTTTAGAGCATAAACAGTAGTGTATAGGATTTCCTGAAAGCGCGCTCACAACGCTACGGAAACCGCGGCAGACCAAACCATATGAAAGTGCGCATTCAGCGTCTGCTCTGCCAATAATGCAAGCGTAGAAGAAGAAATGTGCTGTTTACCTGTGCAAAGAAAGAAACAACGAAAGAAAAATGTCTGAGGACTTCAGTGTTGAGGAAGAGCATGAGTTCTTTGCCGAGCTGAATGCGCTGGTTTGGTCTGCCGCGGTTTCCGTAGACTCGTGAACGCGCTTTTAGGAAATCCTATACACTACTGTTTATGCTCTAAAAACATTCTAAATGACTTCGT